GTTTTAGAGAAGACATATAGCAACCTGGAAAATTTCTGGTGATTTTATTTGTGGGTCTCAATAATTTGCTGTTTCTATCTTTACAATTAATTCTTTGTCACTATTACTACAAATGCCTTGAATTTCCTCCCTGTCCCCCAACAGACTCCAGCTCATTAATATGCAGCTTTAAGCAAGTATCGGAGCTGTCATGCATTACAAATCTCCCCAAGGAAGCTTTTTAAAATTGTAAGTAAGACCCGATACCGAGACTTATTAGCACCAAACTTGGAAACAAAGCTTCTGTGCAGGCAGTGATGACTCTTCAAGTTACAGTTGCTGTCACCTTTTTTATCCTGAGATTTATTATAAATGTGAATACCTCAAAGGATTTCTTTGATGCAACCAACGTTTCCAGCTCTCATAAACTGCTGCTTATTGATGGAACTGGGCTTGTGCCAGCATCTCAGGTTTGAGTGATGAAGCTGAACTTCTAGGTCAGATTTAATTGCACCCACACTGAGATATACTCAGAAGAAATCCACTGAAAGCAGTAGAGTGACAGTACACTACCGCAAACACACTGTGGCACGATGGAGAAACTGAAGTTTGCATACCAGCTAAAAGACAGGTCACAACAGTCCACAGAAGTGCAATATGTAGGTCAAGATCAAAGTCCATCCTCAGTGCTTTGAGACCAGCTTTTACTTGAATGTCTGTCTGATACTTACACCTGCATCCGAGGCTTTGGCTCCTGTACACACACTTATAAATGTCTGAACAGCCTCATTTTTTCAGCGCTGCCTGGAATTAAGAACAACAATTAGTCTAACTTCTGAACTGCTTGCATAAATTATTTGCCAGGACTAAGGTTGAGGCAGATTCCCATGACTACCAGTTATGATAACAGAAGAAATGTATAAATTTGAAATCAAGAGGTAGCTGTGGAGCTGCCTGTCATTGGCATGTTGGTGATTCTTCTGACTGATATCTTTCCTTAGTGACACACGGTGGCTGTAAGAGGAATCCTTGTCAACTTCCACACAAGGGAGCCCAAAGGGAGAAAGATACACCTCAATGCTTCTCAGAGAATAACGTGTTAACCCAGAGAAAGGGTTGCCAGCAGAGCTTCTTGCTGGAGTGATACCGTAGTGTCCTACACTTGGGCCAGCACAAAATAACAAGAACTAGAAAGATTTTACTAGAAAAATACCTCCAGCTGGAGAATCTGGAATATCTAACCTCTCAAAAACTCTCACAATTCAATAAAGTCTTTCTTGAATGACCCCAAATACTGACACCTGTCAGGAGGGAGAGCTGATGCAACAGCAGCAGAGCCACGGCCCAGGCTTGGCCAATGAAGTCACGCATGACTGCAAGTTGCAAGAGGAGCTCTCTCAATGCCACCTCTTTACAGTCCCCCCAAACCTGAGACGTGAGAAAATGGAAATTTACTACTGAGACTTTTCAGGCTCAAATAACAATTTCCCTATGTCCTGGAGGTCCTAATTTCCTGACTGATGATGTTTTTCCTCCTCACCACTCATGACCCGACTTCTCTATGTCAAACCAATCTTAGCCATCAGCTAAGGACTAAGAAAGCTGTGGATATCCTCCTCAAGATCCTGCCATGTGGATGGGATCTGTTTGTTTGTTTGTTTGTTTGTTTGGTTGTTTGTTTGTTTGTTTGGTTGTTTGTTTGTTTGTTTGGTTGTTTGTTTGTTTGTTTTAACACTAGGGTACTCCATCTCCTTCACTGCCCCTTTACCAGGGATCACCTCCCACTCAGCTGCCCTGCAGGTAGGCATCCAGGCTGCCAGTGCCTCCCGAAGCCCTGGGTACAAACTCAGCTTGTTTGAGCTATTGTTGCTCCTCACCCAGCTGGGCAGCTGGCAGGAATGAATGGAGGAGATGCCAGGAGGGCAGGAGCTGGCTGAGAGCAGGCACCCCACCACAGGCCCAGCTCTCTGGGGGAGTATGGCACAGGATGGCACATTGGTAGGACAACAAAGATGATTCAGGGATTGGAGCGTCTCCCTTATGAGGAAAGGCTGAGAGAGGTGGGACTCTTTAGCCTGGAGAAGAGAAGGCTGAAGGGAGACCTTATTAATGCTTACAAGTATCTCAAGGGTGGGTTGAAGGATGATGGAGCCAGACTCTTTTCAGTGGTTCCCAGTGACAGGACGAGGGGCAACGGGCACAAGCTGGATCATAGGAAGTTCCACTCAAATATGAGAAAAAACTTCTTTAGGGTGAGGGTGATGGAGCCCTGGAACAGGCTGCCCAGGGAGGTCGTGGAGTCCCCTTCCCTGGAGATCTTCAAGACCCGCCTGGATGCAGTCCTGAGTGATGTGCTCTGGGCAATCCTGCCTTAGCAGGGGAGTTGGACCAGATGATCTCTAGAGGTCCCTTCCAACTCTGACAATTCTGTGATTCCGTGACCTGTCCCCCCAGGAGCAGTGGGGCAGGGGAACCATGGTACCGTGCCCTTCCTGGGGGGCAGCATCCCCCATCCTATAAATCCTAGGAGGAGTCCAGCTCTGGGCAAAGGCACGCATTGACAGCCCTTCGCGGCCGTGCCCGCCGGAGCCCGATCCCCCCGCCCCAGGGACGGGCAGGCATTTCTCTGACGGGGGGGCAGCACTGCTCGGCTGCATGACGGGTTCCCCCCCGAGCGAGGGTCCGGGGGAGCGGCGGCCGCCTCCTTCCCCTCACCTCCACCCGGTACCGCCGCGCCCGCCCCAGCCACCGGCCATCAGCGGCCGCACCCGCCCAACGGCCGCCTTCCCGAGCGCCGC